CGTGGGTGCAGGGTCCCAAGTACCTGGGCCATTCTTCTGCTGCTTTCCCAGGCCATTAGCAGGGAGCAGGATCAGAAGTGGAGCAGCTGGGACTTGAACTGGCGCCTATATGGATGCTGGCGTTGCAGGCACTGGCTTAATCCACTATACCACCATACTAGCCCCAGGGCTGAATACTTTTAATCGAATCATCTGCAGTAAACCTCAGGCTTGCTGAGAAACGAGGATGCCTGTCGTCGGCACCGGCAAGGCCAGGCTGTGTTGCAGGCCTGGCCATGGCAACAAACTTGGGGAAAATCAGCAGGGACAGAGAGTGCCATTACTGGGACGTGGCTCTCTGCACAGAAACCCTGAAGACCCACAGGGAAACTATCGAAGCCATTGGCTGTTTTTATTGATATAAAGTGCACATAAATATGAAATTGCATTTCCGTGCAAGCACCAGAACTCATGATTTTAAAAGATATCATTTAAAATAGCAGCAAAGGTAGGGCATATGGGAGATAAACCTAAAAACAGTGGCCAAGGCTGCTGTTAAATATATAAAACATCATTGAGGGCTTCAAGAAAGACCTCTGCTAATGGGAAGGTATACAATGTTTATAGATCAGATGATTGAATATCCTAAAAGGGCTAACATCCTTGGAACTGATCTATGAAAATTCAGATTGGACTTGGATGTTGCTTTGGACTGCCACAAACAGGTTCTAAAATTTTCATGGAAGGTCAAGGGGCCAGTGTCACCAAAGCTTTCCTAAAGGGCCACGGTGTTTCTGTGGATTCGTTTCTGAGAGGAGGAACATGGTGGGGGCAAGAGGCGTGGAGTCACCACACAGACCCTGGGAGTCAGGTGAAAGCAGGCCAGAGGTGAGCAGCCTTCAGACTCATTTATTTCAGATGGTGCAGCAGCTTATATAGCCGAGGCAGCCAATCTGGTCAAGGGGCGGTCTATGCCCTAACCAATCACACCCTGTTGCCAGGCAGTTTCTGTTGCCAGAGGCCATCTTGGCATGGTCTTCTCATTCCACCACATTGCGCCTTCTCGTTTCACCACACCACAGGGGTGGGGGGTGGGGTTTAAGGGGAGCAACACTGAGTGATAGCTGAGGGCCCTGGATGCAACTCTGGCCAGCCTACTCCTGACCAAGCCACTTACCTTTCCTGCCCAGCTGGGCCCAGAGAGCTGGCCCCAGCACCCTGCCCTTGCTCTCCCAGGTGGAAGAAGACGACGAACCTCCCATGCCAAGGTGCCGTCTCCTCTGCGGGGATGCTTGCCAGGTGCAGGATGGAGGTGAGAGGCAGATCCTGTGGGCCCCTCTGCTGTGGAGGGGTGGGGACCTTGGCCTTGCTCCTGTTTCTTCCTGGGACACTCTCCTCCGTGCTGCCTTTGTGAGGGGTGGAGCTCTGAGGAAGCCCACCTCGCCAGGACAACAGAAAGCTGGTATTTGGGTTCCTGTTACAGCTGAGTCTGAAACAGTGCAGGTGTCACCCCCGGGGTGACCCACAGCTGGCCAAACACACACACGTCGGACGCTGACATGAGATGCACACGTGGAGCTCCCAGAACCCAGGGGAGGGCGGTGCAGCCTGTGGAGGTGCTGCCCACACCTGGACCTCAGACCACGGCCGCTGGAAGTGCAAGAGAGTGGACGCCTGTGTCGTGGGCCACGCTGGCTGTGGTCAGGAACCCAGGATGCAAACCCAGATCTGCCAACTCATGGCAGGTCTCTAGGGAAACGTGCTGTGTGGGGTCTCCAGCTGCATTTCTGTAATGGAAAAATGGAAGGGTTAAATCCTGTGGCCCGAGGTCCTTCCGAACACCTGGTGCCTGTGACTCGGGGCAGATCTGCTGCCAGGTCTCCTCTCCTCCTAGCCTGAGGGCGGTGGATTGGCCATCAGACTCGGCGGAGCAGGCGCCGGTGACGAGGACCCAACCATACCCGTTTCTTCGGCTCGGGAGTCCACGAGGAGACAGCGATGAAAGCAGAGACGAGCGAGAAGTCTGCCCCCGAAGCCATTTGTCAGAGTGTCGGCTGGAAGGGCGAGGCGGAGGCCGGCAGTGTGGTGAGGCACAGCCAGACGAGGGGCAGCGTGGGTGGGGCCTGCAAGGGACCGTGGCGGGCCCAGGCCGTGTTCCCAGACACAGGTGCCTGGAGCTGGCACAGGAGCCTTCTCTGTTAGACTCAGCTCCTGCCCCCGGGGGTCCCGGGCTGGAGGCCCCTGGCACCAGACTTCCTCACGAGGGGCAGGCCGGGCAGAGACATCTGTGGACATGCTGCGGTGTCTCGGCCCCCCGGGAGGTACGCTGGGCCCCCTTCACCCAACACCCAGCTCTGCAGGGGAGGGCACCCCGAGCAGCATGGGGTTTGCAGGGATCAGAGCCGCCGAGAGGTGAAGGAGCCGTGATTGACAGGGCACAATGGTGCCCGCTGCTGGACGGGAACAAGGCATGGATAGGGACTCCTGCGAGAGCGGTGGAGACTCCGGGCAAGGTGGCGAGTCCCGTGTCCGATCTTCCCATGCCCTCTCCTGCCTTCACTCTTTGAAGGACCGTTTGGCCCATGTCCTACTGAAGGGCCTGAGGCATTGGAGGAGACACGCCAGACCGGCCACCTTGGATTTGTGATGCTCGGAGGCTGTGCCAAACCTTGGCCTGGAAGAGCAGGGCCGAGTGCTAAGCTCCAGCCCTGGGAGCAGGGGTGGCGTTCGCAGACGGGAGACACACACAGGGAAGAGGTATGGAGGGTGGGCCGAGCAGAGTGTGGCGTGGCAGGCAGGTTGGGGCAGAGGTTCGGGCAAATGGCGGGAGCCGGGGTGGGCGGTGCTGACTGCACAGCGGGCATCGGCAGGGCACTGGGGGGCGCGGGGGCGCTGATCCGCTGCCCTGCTCCTGGGGCTCGACTGGAAGGTTTTGTGCCTCACCTTGTGAGGCCGCCTAGTGCAAGTCCCAGCTCTGGAGAGCGCAGGGGGGTCCTCTGAACACACGGCGAGGTCCAGAGAGCTCGGTGAGGAGAGAGGAGGCCTGGGGGCCACCCCGTGCCCCTCCTCAGAGCAAGTGGGGCGCTGGGCAGGGCACTTGCTGGCTGCAAGGCCTCTCTCCCACCCTGCCTTGTGTACAAAGCACGGAGCTGCAGCCTGCAGAGGGAAGCACGCGCTTTTCTCAAAGTTGGACCTTTGGAGCAAGTGTCAGAGCTGGGCTTGGTCAATTCTGGCTCTCGTGTGCATGCACACGCTCTCTCTCGTGCTGAGGGATCCTGGCTCCCGTCCTGACTTAGCCACTGGCAGCTGAACCTGAGTGTCCCCCTCCCGCCCCCGCACGGCGGCCCCTGGGCTCAGGTGGCGTTATCAGGATTAATCTCCCAGCCGGCCAGAGAGCTGAGCCTTGTCTTAGGATGAGAAGCCCCTGAAAAGTGCAATCTTGTCTCCATCTCTTTGTAACCAGGACCCTTAGAATGATATTAAAGAATAGAGAAATGACCCCAAACTTCTGCTGCCACTCCTCCTGCCGTCAGCATCAGGGGCGTTGAGTTTTCTAAGAGCTCGGGTGAGACACAAAGTATCTGGGCAACCGGAGCCATTCGCAACTCAGATCGGAGCCTTGGAAATCAAGGATCAGGAACTGGAGCAGGCGTTGTCTCCCAAGCTCCCAGGTTCATGTTCAGAGTGACACCTGGCCGCTCACCGCGTGTGTCATCAGCAAGCCACGGCGGGCTCCGTGCCCCGGCTCCATCTCCACGAGAAAAGGCGGAAAAACAACTTCTTAACTGAGAAGCTGTGTGTCTTCTAAAACACGTGACCCCGTGTTTCCAGACTGAAACGAGCCTCAAGGGAGACAATTCCCCCCAGTTCAGCCCCTTGGCAGAAAGCAGACCCCCGACCCCTTGGAGGCCTTGGGGGCCTCTGCGGGTAACGCCTCCGAACATAGGAGCTGAGGTCCTCAGGGTGCTGCCTCTCAGTCCAGGCTGCTGCCCGGCACTGCCCAGCCTGGAGAGGCTGATTTCAGCTGGCCCTGGGGGCAGCTCACCTCCTGGACGCGTCTCTCCCACCGCCAGGGCGTGTGTGAGTGTTGAAATGAGGTGAGTGAGGAAAAGCACACCCATTGAACGCTGGAACCCCAGTGCCCAAGTCGGGGACCCCACCCCTTGCTCCTCTGGTTTCTCCCCTCTCCCCCTCCCACCTCCCTGCACCCCCCGCCTCCCCAGGCTCCTGGTGAGCTGCTATAAACCAGACCTTTCTCAGATGCCACCCGAGTGCTGCTGTCACAGCTGTGCCGGTGCCCGCAGGCTGGGGCAGGCAGGGACGCAGGTCAGGGGGTGTGAGGGGTGGACCCACCCACAGGCGCATCCTTTTGGAGCCGTCCCTGTCGCTGTGACGAGGGTGCTCAGCCCAGAGCCGAGTGGCTGGGTCGGGGAGTGCCGTGCTGAAGAGGGCGGTTCCCAGTGTGAATGGGGGAGTGGTGGGTGGCCCCTGGAGTCCTGTGTGGCCGAGGCAGGGCAGGCTTGCCGTCACCCGGCCCCTGAAGTGCCTTCTCTCTTTGGTCTCAGGCCCTTGGGCCTCTTGTTTGGGAGAAGGCCCTGGGGAAGCCTCCTCAGGCCCCTGAGCCAGAGACTGAGCCGGCCTCGGTTCACCAAGGCTGACCTTGAGATGCGGAGTGTTGAAAACCCCAGGGGCACAGAGGGTGAGGGGTATTCATTCTGGGGGTGTCAGGAGGGACTGGTGCCTCTGCTGGGCAGTGGCCGGGCCCAGAGAGGACTCAGCCAGCCCCTTCACACTGCCCCCCAGTTGCCGGCTGACCTTGGGTTGACCTTGGCCCCATCCTCAAGTACCCCCTCTCCAGGCACCTGTGGACTTTGCTAATTTCTCTCCTTTGCTCTAACCCGGCTGCTAAGCATGGTTAGCGATTTGCTTGCCTTTGTAGCTAAGGAGTGGCTGGGGCAGTGCCCTTAGTTTTCCTTTGAAATTGTGGCGGATTTGGGAAACCGAGAAACCTTGGAAGCCTATTGGAGCGGGCTCAGCTTTTTATTTCAGATGAGCTCTAATTGACCAGAGGAGTGGGGCGTTCTTAGCGAGGACGGATATTGGAAAGACATACATCACTGATTTTATTTCCTTATTATTGTTTGTGCTGGAATTAATGCAGAGTCTTGGGTTTGGAGAAAAATTATGGGCCACTTCTGAGATGAACACCCCTCGTATGGCTCATCTGGACCCGGGAGAGGGCTCTCCATCAGTGTCCTGCCGATACGAGGCCGCTGCCTGCTGTGCTGAGGTCGCCTGGCCGGCCGTGTCATCTGATCTTGGAGTCACTGCAATCAATGAGCTCCCACTAAGCAAATATCTCCAGTTTTTCAGCACGTGTGTTTGCTGTGTAAATTTCCTTTCTCTGCCAATATGCTGAGCTGGCACCATTAATTTCCAGAGGTGGGACAGGGCTGCCGGCTCTGAGCACTCGGGGCGAGCGACGACGTGGGTGACCACCCTCCGGCACCCAGCGCCCCCCACGTTGCCTGAGGTTTGCCTTGGACGCGTGCTGAATCCCAGCGGTTGGCACAGACAGACAGGCTGAGCCAGGAACCAAATAGCTGAGAGCCACAAACGTTTCAGCTTCGGGGGCACTGTCTGGAGGCTCCGCCGGCAGTGCGGGCAGCGAGCCGCACTCGGCTCCCCAGGTCAGAGGCTCATGAGAAGGAAGACAACGACGCTGTGCCCCCTGCCTGGGAAATGCACGGAAACCACCTTCAGCCCCCGGCCGATGGGAGACAGATCCTTGGGACTGAACGAGCCTGTCCTTACTGGCAGGGAGGCTGGGGTTCCGCCGTGGGAACAGGACTCAGCCGGGCTGCTGCCCTTGTGCCCCTGCCCCAAAGAGCCCACACGTGCCTGGCCCTGGGCTGTTTGCCCAGCTCCGCCCTTCCCTGATAATCCCGCTGAGGACAGAGAAGTGACCAACCTTCCTCAGTCTACAGCGTCTCCCCCTCTAGGCACCGTCACAGCCCAGACTTGGGGAGCCCAGGACTCTCATCCGGGAGTCTCTGAGCCACTGTGTGCTTATCAAGGCGCCGGCTGCCTTGTCCCATCGCCCACACCAGCTCCCCGGCAGGTCAGCTCTGTTTGAGTCCTGAGTGCCCCACCCTGGGTCAGGCAGCGGGGGTGGCCGTGGGTGAGGAGGCCTAGCAGGTTGGCCAGCACCTGCTAGATCACGCCTGCTGTGGGTGGACGGCCCACTGGGCGCTGTCTCGGTGGACGCTGGGTTTCTATGGCTAACACCGGACAGTGCAGGATTTGGTATCTATACAATGTCTTGGTCCCTTGACAAGGAAGCAGCAGCCATATCATAGTGTGATTCTGCCCTCTGTGGGACAGCACGCTTTCCTGAGTGACTTCTCTGTGTCAAGCCCAATGTTTAGTGTTTTCAAGAGCGTGCTCCCTGAATTTCCACACCAAGCGTGGGGCTGGGTGATAAGCGGCACACTTCAGGGGTGAGCAGTCAGTTCCCCAAAGTGCGCTCGCTGCTGGCCAAGTCGGGGCTGCCTGGCGCAGAGCCCTTGCTCTCCTGGGACTCAGTCCATACATCCTTCAGCTGACATTGGGCTCCCAGGCGCTGTGGGGGCTTTGCGATGAGGACCATGCTCCTCCGAAGCTCTGCTCATTTCTCTGTGGGTGATCTGGGATTCATGCCGGAGCTGCGGGAGCACAGACTGGCCGCCATTCCGCCCCTGGGTTCCTGGTCACCCTGGACAGTCCCCTACCCAGGATTAAGTCTGCCGCGACTGGCTGGGCCCCGCACTTGCATCTGTTGGGCGCACCAAGAAGTACCTGGCATTCGGCTTTTAGGAAAAGCAAGGACCAAAAAGAACCTTTGGCTTTTCCTGAGCTTTTCAGTCTTCCCTACTCCGGCTGCTGTCGATGACTGAGCGGTTTGCAATCTGATGGACGCCATTGCGGCTCAGCGCTGTGTCCCCAATGTCCAGGAAAACCGGTTCCCACATGGCCCTCACATTTCAGTCTATGGGAGATTGGACGGTTGGTGCTGGCTGGTGGCGGGTAAGTGTTCCCAATGCGTGCAAGAGGCCAGTGCCGCGTGACGCAGTGTGCAAGCGTAGCCTGGGAGCCCTGTTCCACCCAGGGGTGCACCCAAGGAACACGGAATAGCAGACATGGCTCACGGGAGGACACGATGCTTTCTGGCAGGGCTAGCGGGACCCAGGTGAGCACAGTGGGACCCCCGGCCAGCAAGTGCGCAGCTCTGGAGACCTCCCATTTCTCCAGCGTAGAGACGGGGCTCAGGCTGGGGGGCAGAGGGCGACCGTGAGCACGCACCCCTGGTAGCTGCTGCTCGGTGCTGAAGGTTCCGGAAACGTGCAAGGCTCTCTGCCGGGTGCTCTTCCTGGGCCGAGGGTTTGTGATTCCTGGTGCTGAGTCCGCCGGCTTGGGTGGCTGGGTGTGAGACATCACAGCGCAACCCTGTAGGGTTCTTCAGAAAATTCATGGAAAAATGGAGAAATGGCACAAGAAGGTTTTTGAAATTCGTGCCCAGGGTTCTTCGTAGGATCATGGTGACGACTTTGCCTGCTAGGCCCCCGGTCTCGTGCCTGAGATTTGTCCAGAATGTGAGAGATTTGAAAAGCAAGGCTTTCCGGCTTCCGTTTTCAAAGTTGGCGCTGACGCTTGCCTTGGCCACAAAGTGTTACCTTGAACAACCATGGTCTCGGTCACGACTCCATGGACGCAGGCGTTAGACTCCCCACGGAGGGAGTGGTGAAGTGGGTGAGGGAGTGGCTGCCGCACCGACACCAGGCTGTCCCTGTGCCGGAGAGATGGCGACCACTCACAAACATGCAGTGACTGCAGGGACACAGGAAGCAGCCAGGAAATCTGCTGTCCACGGCGTCTACACCCGGCCATCGTCTGTATCCCAGCCCAGCCTGCTCAGGACCGGAAGTCCGGCTCCCAGGTCACAGCACGTGAATTTCGGGGGGGACATGAGCTTTTGGACCACAGCCTGCCGGGGTCAGAGGGGCACCAGAGGGCATTCACGGCAGGATTCCTGGCCGCTGCCGGGGTGGCAGCAAGCTCAGGACATCCTGAAGGGAGTGGAAGCTCGGTCCAGCTCACCACGTCCACGACACAGTAGGCGGCACACTGGCGACCCCGGAAACCACACCAATTAAAGACAGCAGCCTGAGACGCTCCCCTGGGAGTGCTTCTCCAAGGACAAGGAATGGCGCAGGGATGCAGGCCCCTGCCTGGACGATGCAATGCACACAAACCAAAACTTGCCAGAGGGAGAAAGTGACAGAGCGGGAAGGAGCCGTCAGACGAACAGATGTCAGCTCGCGTGAGCCTGAGACACTCTGGACAGAAGTAATGACGAGGAGGTAATCTCCAACTGCTTTCGCCCAGGTAAACTGTGAGTGTAAGGAATGCGGGATACTCCAGATCCCAGGGGCACACTGAATATCAGCAAACCAAATCCACCAATCTCCTCACCGGCGCTACTGCCAGGCCGAGTTCTGAGGGGGGAGATGGCGACTCCGGGGGACAGAGGGCGCCCGTGTGTGGGTCCCCTGACGGCTTTCCTGGGCTGCAGGCACTCCTTTGTGGGCTCTCCCTCCACCAAAGGATTTTGAACTTATATTTGTGAAGATAAGCGGACTCCAAGCTGGATGAGAGGCATTTTTTCCCTCTCAGATGTTACGGAAGATATTTTTATGAGTCCTGAGTGGGTCTTGGGCCCTGGGCACCGAGCCAGGGCTGCACATAATGGGGACACTGGCCCTGCTTTGATAGAGAGTCTGCGACCTGGGGAAAGACGGAGACGGGGCCGTCTCTCCTCCCAGGGCGGAGACGGGGCCGTCTCTGTCCCTTCAGTCGCTCCTCCGCGCGCTGCTTCCATGGCCGCACCTCCCCGTGCCGCCACCTGAGCACTCTGGGGAGGGGTCCTCCACTGAGTCCTGTGAACTCTTCCTGGAGCACTTGTGCGCCTTCTGCCCGAGAAGCAGAACGCTGGCAAGGAGGAAGAAGTCATGGTTTCCTAGAGCAGAGAAACTGGCGAGAAATGCAGGCGTGAGCAGTTGTCCACACGACTGGACACCAGTTCCAGCGTCTAGCCAAACAGTAGACAAACAGTGTTAAGACATACTGAGTTATAGGCTCCCCAAATCACAGGTTTCTAAAACTAAAGCTGGAGTTCTATGAAAGTGAGGCGGAGGAGAGGAGGCGGACCAAGGTCCCGGTGACCCTACCGAGGCCATTCAACTTTTGACTCTAGCAGTTAGAGGAAAAAGTTCAAATGTGTTTTTTAAAATTAAACAAATCACTTGTAGATTAGAAAACAGGCATAACTGTAAACCCGAGGATACACAGAAATGGACCATTCAGCCTGGAATGAAATAAAGTGGAAAAGAGCCAGGGAACAGGAGGACCAAAAGCGTGGGCTGACGTGACAGAAGAGCAGCCATGTTTCGTCCCAACGGAGTGGCCATGAGATGATGTCAAACAGGCTGAATGCTGCATTAGAGACGTCTAAGTCAGAATTACAGGGAGGGAGGGAGAGAGAGAGAGAGAGAGAGAGAGAGAGAATCTTCTGTCCAGCGGCTCACTCTCCAAATGGCCGCAACGGCCAGGGCTGGGCCAGGCTGAAGTCAGGAGCCAGGAGCTTCTTCCAGGTCTCCCACATGGGTGCGGGGGCCCGAGCGCCTGGGCCGTCTTTTGCTGCTTTCCGAGGCACACTAGCTGCACAGGAAGTGGAGCAGCCGGGTCTGAAACCACTGCAGATATGGGATGCGTGTTGCAGGCGGCGGCTTTACCCGCTACACCACAATGCCAGCCCCCGAATCACGTTTTCAAGTTAAAAGTGAAACAAACGCCAAAAACGAGTGGGAAAACTACAAAGGAAAAAAGCACAGAAGGCAGGCTAAATATTTGACAGAATCGAATTTTAGGCGAAAAGCATTAAATGAAACAAACAGCTAAAATGCAAAGGTACAATGGGGATTTAGAACCAATTTCCTTTGATGAATAACAGCATAAGTTATAGAGCATTAACTTGGAAATATGAGGAGAAGACAACAAGAGAACTGAATGTACGATTCATCTTTGACTAACAAGAAAACAGAATTTTTGATTAAAAGAGCCAATGTGGTTGATTTAGTGGATGGAAGTTAAACTTTGTGTCCTATTGGTTGCAAACATCTCTTGCAAACTTCTCTCCAAGTTTTAAGGAAAGCGGATCCTATTCAAGGCAGCACATGAGACTTCAATATGTTTAAAACGGAGACTTTTTGGGGATTCCATTGGAAAAATATGAAAGATTAAAAAAATCTAAAAAGTAACATTTGGGAGCATGGTGGAGGTGGAGCTCTGAGGACCCGTCTCCCTCCAGTGAAGCGAGATGAAGCAGCCCCCAAAGCTGCCAGGATCCGCGCTTCCAGAAATCTAGACCCTGGTAAAGAAAACTCAAAATGATCCGAGAAGTGCAAAGGAAAGAAGGCACCAAACTTTGGTGAGACCGGCGGTGTCTTTGCTTATCCGGGTGTTAATCCCCCATGCCCGGCTTCATTGCGGCTTTGGCGCCCACCCCAGCCTACGCCGCACTCTCTGTGGCTTGCTCGAGGCAGAGGGGGCACCAGGGGTCTTGTTCTCCAAGAGCCAGTGGTCTGGAGGCGCCCCGAGCTCTCAGCTCAGAGTCGGCTCCTGCTTCACCCTCGCAACACTGTCAGGGCTGAGGTGGCCTCCTGGATGTCGGTGTCCAAAGCATGGGAGGGGCACGCAGCCTGCAGCCTGCAGCCGGCTGGGGCTGGGGACAGCCACTGAGCCAGCAGCAGGCAACCAGAGTTTGCAGGAGGGGACGCTTGGCACCTCAAGGCTTGAGAAAGCTCCTGGGTGCGCCACGGGACCCAGTGCACGCCTGCCGCTAGACGTGGGCTCGGAAGAGACCCGAGAAGACCTCAGCCTTGCGTGTCCGGCTGACCGTCAGGCTCTGCAGAGCACAAAGTGAGGGCTGAGGGAGCAGCGACTCCCAGCCGCCTGCGCAGACTGGGAGCGTGGGGCTTTGCTTTCCTTTCTGGCTTCAGGTGTTCCAGGGCATCTCTGTCAAAGCCGCCGGCTGACCACAAAGCCAGCAGTGGAGGAGGACAAAGAACAGCGTGACAATGCGACCACCCTCCACAAGCCACAGGAGTCATCTCTGGGGAGGGGGCAGAGGTCCTGAAGTATCCTGTGCAAAATCCAGTTTTCAACCAGAAACTATGAGACTTGCCGACAAGCAAGGAAGGTGGGCCACTTCACAGCAGAACTAAATAAAATAAAAAGAAAAAAAAAAAAAAAACCAATGAACCGAAATCGTTCCAGGGGAAGCCCAAGACATTGGCTAACAAGACAAAGACCTTATATTTAAGGCACCGGCTTTTAAATGCGCTCAGCAAGCTACAGAAACCCCGCAGGAGGATCATCCACCACGAAAAAGAGCTTCTCAAGAAACAAACAGAGACGGCCATCAGGGAGCTCACGGACACGCTGAGACTTTGATGGGCCATAGCCAGAGGGAAACTTTGCCGGGGGTTCAGACACAGTTGAGAGGGTGGAAGAAAAAGGCAGCCGGCTTGGAGATGGCTCCGTTGGAGTCACCTGCCCGATGGCTTCCAGGGAGTGGACGCTCAGGCAGCTGCAAGGCACGCCCTTCACAGAGTGAAAGGACGGGGAGTCGTGGTGGGCAGGGCTGGTGGTCATCATGGAAGCCAAGAGGCCATCAGTTCAAGCCAGACCCTTCTAAATTTCTGGTGGTGGGGTCCTCGGGAAAGCCAGTAACAGAAGAACGGGTAAAAATATGCAGAAAAAGAAATGAGAAGACTCAAGGAGAGGCTGAGGGTCAAAATCAACAGAAGAGAAGGCGGGGATGAACTGACAGGCAGGAAACAGATAGCCAAGTGTCAGGAGCAAGTCAGTCCTGATCACAGTCGCCTTACATACAAATGAAGTTCCCATTAAAACGTAGAAAATGAGAGAACGGAGGAAAAAGGCTCACTGAGGGGACCTCAAAGAGTTCCTGGAAAAATTGAATGGAAAGATAATGTCTATTTTGGTGCAGAAATTTTGCAATCCGCATGTAGCTTTCTCTCTTTTTTTTCCTTCTTTTTTTTTGACAGGCAGAGTGGACAGTGAGAGAGAGAGACAGAGAGAAAGGTCTTCCTTTGCCGTTGGTTCACCCTCCAATGGCCGCCGATGGCAGGAGCCAGGTGCTTCTCCTGGTCTCCCATGGGGTGCAGGGCCCAAGCACCTGGGCCATCCTCCACTGCACTCCCAGGCCACAGCAGAGAGCTGACCTGGAAGAGGGGCAACCGGGACAGAATCCGGCGCCCCGACCGGGACTAGAACCCGGTGTGCCGGCGCTGCAAGGCGGAGGATCAGCCTAGTGAGCCGCGGCGCCGGCCTAGCTTTCTCAATGTACACATTCTGCACGGACTTCTGGAAGACCTCCTGTGTGCGCTCCACCAGTCTCTCGATCCAAAGGCACAAACGGGTTGAGAGCGAGAGGCTGGATGGGAAAGCCATTTTGTGCGAAGAGTAACCAAAAGCGAGCTGGGGTCATTGTACTAAGCGAAAACAAGCTCACAGGAGGCAGAGGGCAGCTGTGCCCAAGGCAGCATCCCTGGCTGATTCTTCTCCTTGGTTATTTTGGTGGGTGTCTTATTCGATGGGGGGAATCATGACACAGCGTGCACGCCCTGTCACAGGTGTGTGACACTCATGGAACCGATCAAGCCACAGACCACCTCCGCCTCCCCAGGGCGGGGTCCCCAGTCCCCAGTCGCTGTCCTGTGCCTGGGGCTTCTTACCAGCATCCCTGGCTCCTGCCCGCTGGATGTGGCTGGCACAGCCATCAGAACGTGCCCAGCACTGCCGCCTCTGGGGGGCACACATCTCCCGGGTGAGACCCGCTGCTCCCCAGCCCCCTTCCAGCCAATCTTTCCTCCCAGAGGCAGCCGCTCCGCCGTGGCCTCTCTCCAGAGCAGCCTTGCCTGTCTTTGAACTCTACGTAAAGAAAGCGCACAGGCGTCCTCTTTGGTGTCTGGCATCTTTTGCCGGCATGGAGGCCGTGAGGTTCGCCTTCGTCCTCCTGTCTGTCCCAAGGGGTCAGTATGCCGCAGCCTCTGTCCCTTCCGCTGGGCCTGGGCACTTGGGCCACTTAGTTGCTCCAGGGAGCAGGGGGGCAGCTAGGACACCCTCGGGCAGCTCTTTGCATAAACATAGGCTCTCATATCTCTTGGGTAAATACCCAAGGCATACCGTGGGTGAATGTTTAACAGCCAAACTGTCTTCCAAAATGATTCCTTCATCTGCACCCCGCCCCCACCGCAGGCACAAGGCTTGCCGTGTCCCCACACCTTCCCCAGTGCTGGTGTGCTTTCACCTGTGACGCGCGAGTGTCAGCTCACGGTGGCCCCACCTCGCCTTTCCCTAACCTCTAACGATATCCAGCGCCTTATGGTGTGTTTATTTCAAATGTATACTGAGAGATATTTCAATATAATGTCTATTTGTGTGTTATATGTGTATGTCACAAAGGGCTTGTGTCTAGAATATACAAAGAACTCTTGGAGAATCAACGGTGCCGTGAGAATGGGCAGACCTGTGCCGACACTTCACGGGCCGTGTTTCTGCCTTGCTGGTCACTGCTGCCCGAATGGGCAGACCTGTGCCGACACTTCACGGGCCGTGTCTCTGCCTTGCTGGTCACTGCTGCCCTGGTGCTGCTGTGGCTCCCACGGTGCCCGTTCAGGACTCACCCCCCACACAGCTAAGTGCTGGACAGCGCTGACCCCCTCATTCTCAGAACAGCTGGGTAAGTAAAGTGCGCTCACCTGCACTGTGCAGAAGAGAGAACAGCTCACCTGCTCAAAGTCCCGGTGGTCGCTGGGAGGCCCGGTCTTCTTGCCCAGGCTGTTCCATGTCCCTTCAGAGAGAGGAGGCGGTGTTAGAGAGATGCACAGGCAGGGGCGCCCCTCCCCTTGTTTTCCCTCTTCTAAGCGAGGTTCAGAAACACCTCCAGCTCGTCAGTGGGAGCTGCCTCTTGGAAGCTGAGAGGATGCTGTTTGCAAGCTCGCACAGGTGAAAAACCTCTCTCAAGCTGCCTACAAAAGTCCCCGGCACAGGGCCGAGACCTCTGGCTAACTACAGCCCGCCGACCCATTGGCTGGCTGCTGTTTTCCGTCTTTAGCCACCGATCCGCTTCAGGTACCCTGCTAGCACCTTGCCAGCCCGTCAGAAGGGGCTCCCTGCTTAGCAAGACAAAAGTTGGGCTCCAAAGCAGGGCCCCTCTGGACCCCCAGAGTCCCACTTGCTTCCTTTCTGTCTGTCAGTAAAAGCAGCTCCCGCCGCGCTTACCTGTCTCACCCGTGCCTTCTTCTGTGCGGATGAGTTCACAGGTGGGAATCCACACCAGAATCCGTGCGTTACTTCTAACGGGGGCCTTTCTGTGCTGCTGGGGGAGGCTACGTTGTCTTCTTTTAGGGAAAAAGAGAGAGCAAATCCTAAAAGGAAGTGTGCTTTCCGCCTGAGAGCCCCTTCAAACGCCATGCCCTCCTTCACCCAGACCCTCTCCTGAGGCACTTCCCAGGGCGCCTCCAGCATCCGCCCCTCCTGGGGCTCAGGTCACGGGTGTGTGCCACAGTGCTGGCTCCCCTGGCCTTCCTGTCTTCCTGCTCCACAGGTTCTGGGCGGGCTGCACCAGCGCCCTCTCTGTGGGAGCGGTCATTTCTTTCCTGATGATGGGGGACGAGCATCCGTCTTGTTTGAACAGGCACGAGGGGTCGCTATCCGTAAGCACGCCCAGGGGTTTGCAGAGTCACAGGCTAGCGCTGGGCAGCCGTCCTCCTCTCGGGAATCCAGCAGGGGATACCCAGCACTTGGGGAGGCTTGGGGGGGGCGTTGTTCAGCTCCTGGGACCAGGTGGTGGGAGCGTGGGGTCCCACTGAGTTCCAGGAGTCTTTTCTAGCAATGGGAGTCAGCAGAGTGTGGGCTCGTCCTGCGAGGCCCACACTGTGGGGATGGTGGGGTGACGGCGTTCTTTGACAAGAAGCACTGGAGACCGTTTCTGTGAACGTGTCCCTTTACTAGCAGTCAGGCACAAGCTTTTATAGGGCAGGTGAAGGGGAGTAGCTAGCTCAGGGTAGCAACACTAATTCTATAGGATGAAGCCGATACTGGCGCCACTATGCTTCTCCAGTCAGCTTGAGGTCACGTAGCCCACGTAGACTTTCAGATGGTCTTAAGGGTCTGGGCCACACCCAGGAGCTGCTCACCTAGTTGACAATCGCAAGGCCCCTCAACAGGAAGTGGGGGTGGGGGAAATGTGCCTGGGGCTCCTGCCTCCTGACAGCAGTCAGGTCATATGTGTGGGGGGGTCTCAGTGTGCTAAGCCCTCAACCAGGGTTTTTTCCCGGGGGGCATGGTGTGCCGTGCCCTCTTAACTTCCTGTATGGGCTAGGCAGGCAGTCTCCCAGCCAGGCACAGGGTCACCCACAGCAGAGAACACCACAGGGTCCGGGTGGAGGAGCCTTCTGTGAGGCTGAGAGAGGGGTCGGGTTTAGCATGATGACAGACAGGCAAGTCTCCGGGGGTTCTGTGGGGTCGTGGAGGAGTGGCTCCTGGGAGTGGCTCACTGCTGCACCTGTTGCGAGCCTGTGAGCTCCAGGACTGGGGCTGACAGCGCTGGGGCCCTGGGTGTCATGGCTGAGCAGGGGGTTTCTGCATCTCGACATGGTAGGAGCTGAGCGATCGGACAGGACTCCTCCCTCTTCCCATAGCAAGGCCACATGCAAATGTGACAAAGGCTTAAAAACCAAGGGGTAGTTACTACTTCACTGCCAATCAAAATACTGAGGGTTCCCGCCAAGGAGGGACTTCCTCTGGTGACAGCCAGTGGGGGCATCTCTCAGGGCCCTCTTCTGACAGTCTCTGGGCTATTTTATTTATTTTGTGACTTTTCTTGTGTGACCATTTTGGAGGAAGCGTTAGCATCAGAGATTTAAAGCACACGTGCACTCATGCATCTACACGCATGCCTGCATGCACACACACACGTGTACACAGGTGAGTGTGCACACACAAATGCTGCTGCACAGGCAGATACGGCCCAGGACTCAGTTTTCCATCCTGGATTTCCCCAAAGCCGATTGTAGAGGGTAGTTGGACTTAACACAAGACCTTGAAACTCACAGCAGGAGCTACGTACACCTGCAGTACCTGGCGGCCCAAAGTTAGAAGCAGCGGGAAGAACTCCTCCTTGGTCCCAAGGGGCTGGGCAGGCCATGCCACGTGGCCCAGGCATCAGCCCCCGCGTGCTAAGACTTTAGTGCAGTGAGCACTGAGATTAGGAAGGAGCAGGTGTGGAGGCGCCTCCAAGGCCCAAGTGGCTCTGGCAGCAAAACCACACGTCCACTTCCACGCTGAGGCTCGGGTGTCCAGCTGGTGGCTGTTGGGATGAAGACTCTTCATTAAACAGCCTGGGCTGTGTCCACTACGGCCTCTGGTGGGCAAGTGCAATCTGGAGGGTGGCCAGTTCTCCTACGCAGAGCTGTCCTTAGCCGGATGCTCCCTTCTCCCCATTTCTCATGGGACCCGGATACCCCAGGAGTTCACTGACTCACAGGAGCAGTGTCTACCCACGCAAACCCAAGGTGCCCTCTTCTGACAGGGGTGACAGAGCAGAGCCATGCTCTCACACCACGCACAAATGTGGCCAGCGTGTCGCCATCTGCACGCTGTGAGCACAGACGGCCCCATCTGGCCAGCATGGCCAGGCGAGCCAGGGCTCTGGGCAGCAGTGACCTGTGGGCTCCGATTCCCAGGGACATGGAGCCTTCTAGTGGAGAGTCTTCTGTGTGAGGACATCCCGGTGCCACGTTGTCCTGCGTCTGCTCCCCTCTGGGTAGAAGCGATCTTAGGAGTCCTGGGGAGGCACTGAACACGAGAGGCTGTGATGTGTGCTGAGCACGGCGAGGGGCCAGTAGCAGAGGGAGGTGGCCGGGGCTCTCTGGGTCCTGGGGACAAGAAGTGGCCTTGGGGAGATGTGTAAGTGGTCATAGCAACAGTGCACGTGTGGTGTGAGGGGCCTTGGGCTCTGCCGCCTCCTGGCTGGGGGCCCTTGTGTTGGTCGCCTAGCTTCGCTGTGCCTTGGTCCTGTTATCCATAAAATGGGAGCATAGTAGTAACTTGTGGGATACGCATGGATGGCCGGGCCCCAGCTCAGCTGCCTGGGTGGAGCCTGTGACTGTGCTGCGAGCCCAGGGACCACGCTTCAGGCAGCAAGGTTGTGAGTGGCGGCTGTGGGCGGCCACGGAGGTTCCAGGGAGGAGCCCCAGAATAGCACTCGGTATGGCGTGAGCGAGTCGCTGTGAGCCGCATGAAGATCACAAATGACAAAGGCCTAAGCACGAGTCCCAGCTACTGCCTTCCCGGCGCTGTCGACATTAGAACACTCTGCAAAGACAATGACTGGGTGTTCTGGAGCGGGACTCAGACACCTGCGGCGCCCGCCGCTCGGCCCCGGGAGAGGTGTCTCGGGGTTTCTACAGGAGCCGCTGCAGGCCTGCCAGCTCTCCCGCGAGGCCCCCAATGCCGTTCTGGCATGACATGAGGGTACCGTGGGCGCAGGATGCCAGGGACACCCATGCAGAACGCTGAGAATCCCCCAAGCACTGAGTGTCGGCTTCGTCGTCAGCAGCGGCTGGGGCGGGTGAGCTGCTGGCTTCGCAGTAGAGCAGCCAGGCCCATGGATGCAAAACCTGGGGTCAACTTTTGCAGAAAAATTGCCAAAGTGGGGGCTGTGCCACGGAATAACAAATCAGTCAAGGAGAAGAAAACCGTGTAGCTTCCGGCCTCTCCCTAGCCCTGCTGGGAGCTGAGGGCAACTGGACAAGGAGGGCCAGGAGAAATTCTGCACAACAGCTGAGCGGACAAAGGAAAAGCCCAGCAATTCACGTGCTCACGGCTGCCAGACCCATGCTGCCGGCGACTCCCCCAGGGGCAGAGACGGGGTGGTGCCTGGGCTGGAAGCTCCACTTCCCTTGCTGAGCCGAGCCGCTCCCACTGAGCGCCCACGCCTGACCGCGAGCACCTGCACGGCGCTGGAGACCAAAGCCGGGACACTGGATCCTCCCGGTGTGCCTGGCGCTGCCGCGGCACCCCAAAAACCTGTGTTGAATGAATGAATGAATTCCTAGCGAAGACGGCGCAGGCTGCACGTCGTGGGCTTGTGTGTACGGCCCCCGTACGGCATTCCCAGTGGAAGGAGCCAGCTCGGCCGTGTATGTGCTGGTCACTGCCCCAAGGGCTTTGAAAACGTGGGCGTTCTTCCAAAACTCGAGAAAAATTCTTCCTGCTTCTCAAACAAAGAAACAGGCACCGAGATCTCGCTCACGGAGTCCAGGGTCCCGGACGCACCGGGCTCGCCCTGCTTCCAGAGGCAAGGGCACCCTGCTGCTTCCCTCTGCGGTTCCAGGAGCCACGCGAACACTGCTCCCTGCCGTGGGACGCAAGCTCTGGGCGGCAGCACGGGCTCCTTGCCGGGTGTTCCAAGCCGAGGAGGCCACGGCTCACCTGGGCCATGTGGGTAAGGCGGCTTCAGCGTGGGTGAGGCCCGCTTGCCGGGGGGGCCTGGGTGGGGTCTCCCTGGTGCCTGTTCCCCTGTGAAGCAGTTCAGTGCCCCCCTCCGCAGAGGAAGCCGCACGGTAGGAGGCAGAGGGTGCCTGTCCATGCGGAGTTTGGACACGGGAAGTCTCCACTCGTCTCCGGGTCAACCCCAGGTCACGGCGCAGGGAGTCTCACCTTCACTAGACAGACAACCAGAGCCCACGCGGGCTCAGAGCTCTCTTGGAGTGTCAGAGTGTCCTGGGGACTCAGTACCACCCACGCTGCTCTCCCTCTGCCAGCCCCTCCTGCATCTCTCTCAAAACCACTCTGTTAGGGCCCTGCGCCCCCCCCCCTTTTTTTTTTTGAGAGGCAGAGTGGACAGTGAGAGAGAGACAGGGAACAGGGAGAAAGGGCTTCCTTTGCCGTTGGTTCACCCTCCAGTGGCCGCTGCGGCCAGCACACCGCGCTGATCAAAGCCGGGAGCCAGGTGCTTCTGGTCTCCCATGGGGTGCAGGGCCCAAGCACCTGGGCCATCCTCCACTGCACTCCCTGGCCACAGCAGAGAGCTGGCCTGGAAGAGGGGCAACCGGGACAGAATCCGGCGCCCTGACCGGGACTAGAACCCGGTGTGCCGGAGCCGCAGGCGGAGGATTAGCCTAGTGAGCCGCGGCGCCGGCCAACCTTTCCTTCTTGAAAGGCCTTCCTCCCTTCACTCCCATGGGGGACCCCTCCCCCTCACTGCTGCGTCCTCCCCTCCCCCTTCTCCCCTTTTCTGCCCGTCCCCACCTCCCTCAGTGACTCTCCGCCACCCCTTCGCCCTGTCCTCCCCTCCCCTTCTCTCTCCCACCCCGCAGTGTCCTCCCCACCCCCCCTCCCCTCCTGCTGGGCCTGCTCACTGCAGACACGCCCACTGTGCTCACCCAGCGCTGCTGACCCCAGCGTCCTCTGTCCTGGGCCCCAGCTCCCGCCCTCGCTCCAGGGCCTGCCACCTCGCTGGGTGCCGCCAGTGAGCTCACGCTCATCACGCCCCCATGCCACCTTTCCGTCCCCTTTGCGCAGTCCCTTGGCTGGCTGCTCGCCAGGCGGAGGGAGCGAGGTGCTGCCAGTGTTCCCAAGGAGCTCACGGTCCAGCGAGAGGGGGTCCAGAACCCCGGGCACCGGCCCCGTGGGCTGCACAGCTGGGGCCGGGCCGGCACTCAGAGGACAGTGGCTTGCCCGTCCAGGCCACGCCTGGGGTTTCGTAGGTGTGGGCCCCTGGCGTTCTGAACTCAGTTCCCAGCCATGGTCCCAGGCTTTGCAGGACTCGAGGTGCAGCCTTGCAGGCAGGGGTGTGGAATTGGGTGAGAGACAGTGCCAGGGCGCTGGGACTGGGCTCACCGAGAACGGAGGGAGTGGAGAGCAGGAGCGAGCCGCCTCCTCGTGTCCCCTGTCCCCGCCCTGTGGGAGGGCCGCGTGCTGCTCTTCCTGCTGCTGTTGCTGCTTTGTGGTTTTGGTTTTTAAGCCTCCAGAGCAGCTGGGAGACCTGGGAGGACCGCCTGGGGCACTCTAAGGGCTCCTTGGAAGGGAGACGCTGGCGTGGCTATGTGGCTCCCCCACTTTTTCTCCATGCGTCGGCCTCGGAAGACGAGTCTGCTTTCCCTTCAAAAGCCAAATTCAGCGTCTTTGACAAGAGACGCCCCAGCAGGTCAGGAGGCCCAAGCCCTCCATTTTACATATGGGGACACTGAGGCCCCCGGCCCCCTGCTAGGAGGGGGTCAAGACCCGCCCTTCCCCTCCCCCACTGCCGGCCGCTGCTGTGGCCAGTGGGATGGGACCCTCTTGCCCAGTGCCTCTGGCGGGCAGCTGGGAAGGTGCTGACGTGCCGTGTGGGTGAAGATGCGTGGGTGTGGTGGGTGACGGGTGTCCAGAGCCAGCAGCGCTCCTGCCGCCGCAGCTTCCTGTGCTGCCGACGCCTCATTTATTGAGCACGTACCATGGACCCGGGAGTCGGCCACAGATGATCCTCACTTGGGGTGCGCCCCCAAGGCGGGTGTCCCTGCTGCCGCCAGGGGTGAGTGCGGGTAGGGCCCGGGGGACATGGGCAGGTGGTATCAGGCGCTTAGGGTGGAGCCCCGTGCTTGCGCCTGGTGGCTGCGTCAGGTGGGAGGTGCCACCCACACAGATGTGGACAGATGGCAGCCCACGTCCCCGTCTCTGCCACGTGAAGCCCTGCACGTGCTGCCTGGGGACCCCGTGGCCCTGGGACCTGGCGCCTTGGAACTATGAGCCCAAACAAACCTATTTTCCTGGGCTCGGCCTGCCTCAGGGTTTGGTCCCAGGCCACTTTTGCTTTACAAAAGAGGAAACTGGGGTGCAGGGTGGAGCCAGGTACTCGGTGGGTGGAGCCACACACTTGGTGGGTGGAGCCTTATACTCGGTGGGAGGAGCCACACTTGGTGGGAGGAGCCACACACTCAGTGCTGACCCCCCCCCCCCCCCGCACTGTCCTGGCTCCATCCAGGAGGCCTGCACCGTCCTCCTGGTTGTGTCACCAGGTGGTCCTGGCCCCCGTCCTCGACTGACTGCACTTGGGGTGCACCGAGGAGCAAGGCACCTGCTGGGCAGTTGCAGGAGCTCCCTGTGCCCCGTGGAAGAGTTTCATTGGAGAGAATCGGAGGCTGGGTGAGGCACCTGCCACGCCGGGCTCCAGGCCGCAAGTGTTCAAGTCAGGAGCTGTGAGGAGTCACAGCCGGTGGGCAGGAGGGACCAGAGGTTCTGTGGGGAGAGGACCCCCCAGAAGGCTTGTGATCCCAGAGTGGGGGGCGGCGGGCCCATTCTCTCTTCTGTGATAGGCTTCTCGCCGCACAGAACAAAGCTGTCTTTTGCCAGTTGCAGTTGGCCGGGCTTTCTGCCTTCTTTGTGGCCGCGGCACCGCATTCTCCTTGTGTCCCAGTAAACAGAGCCCCCCCGCACGCTCCACTGAGGTTGCCAGTCTTGGAGCCCACGGCCTCTGTGGGCTTGAGGCAGGGCTGTCGCAATTGGCGGCTGTCAGTTCTCCCGGCAGGATAGCTACTCTGTCTGTGGTGACCCAACATCATCAGCCAATGGGCACCTGGCTGTGAGGAGGCAGTGGTGCATCCAACAGGACCTTCGCCCCGCGGGCCCTTCCTTCCAGAGGTGTGGAGGCACAGGTGCAAGGCTTCAGTAGGGCGGGGCTTCGGGCCTGAGAGGTGCTCCCCAAAGTTTGTGTTGCTGAGCAGGGAGAGGGCTGGGGGCGGGGAAGCAGGCAGAGAGGGCAGTGGGCTCACTTGCAGATCCTGCCTCTTAAACCAGAAGAGACCTGACCTCTTTCTGGGTTGCTTGGAAAAGCAGGCACCCCACATTTCTCCTAAGGGGCGCAGGGCCTCGGCGACAGGCAGCCTTGTGACTTGGTGGCTGGCTGTGTGTAGGCAGAAGTGAGCCACAGGATGCCCCGTGGGTGGGGGTGGGGTGGGGGAGGAGGTGAGAGGCCTAGCCGGCTTCGGGGGCTGCGGCATTCGTATTTTTCTTTCCACAATACTTGGCCCAGTGGAGGGGGAGGGGAAGGCAGGGGCGCTCCTGACAGGCCTGGGCTTTTCTGGGGAGCCCGAGCCACGGACGCCGGGGAAGAACTGGGCACCCACGGCTGCTGCAATTGGAGGGGCAGAATGGACCCGGGGCTTCCCGGAGGTTTAGAGGGGCTCATCAGAGGGAAATACCAAAGTGGAAGTGGAGAGGCCAAAGACAGGCACCCCTCCACCTTCTAGTTCCGCTCTGGGGCTCATATCCCCGTGGGGCGGGGGAGTCGGATACGTGCGTTGGAATGCAAGAATAAAGAAACAAGACCAGCGAGACACTCATCCCCCTCGGGGTCTGTGAGGCTGCCCCGACCCACGCCTTGGACGTCCGTCGGGTGCCGAGCACCGCGGGGACACCGAGCGCAGGTCGGCATCTCCAGGCTTCAGCCCCAACAGGGCCTTTGGGGAGGGACGCCCCTTCCCCTGCGTTGCCTATGAATTCACTTCCCAAGTCCGGATTCCAGAGCTGGAAAACACCCTGTGCATAAGCAGACTTGTCCCGGCTCCCGCAGGGCCAGTTCTAGGGGCACCTGTGCCCCCGTCTTTTGTGCGCCAACTGTGTACTCTTTGTTCTGTACCCTGGGGGGAGGGAGCTCACGCGAGCCCTTGCCGTCTGCCTCACTGCACGGCTGAAGATACTCTGATCAGTCAAAACCCGGAGGCTGGAGCTTGGTGTCTTACCCCAAACAGGGAAGGAGGACTTGTTACAGGAATGGTAATCCCTCAGCCTTCCCTCCCTGCCCTGCCCTCCTGGGAGGCAACTGCCTCAAAGCCCCTGCTCCTGACAAGTGGGGACAGGTGGGCCGTGGCTGCTTCCTGGCTTGGTCGCCCCCCGCCCCCGGCCCGGTACTGCAACCGAATCTTCACTGTTAGACTGTGGAGTCCTGGGAGGCAGGGCCTCGGGCCTCGGCCGCGTGCTCGCCCTGGCCCAGGCCCGCAGGGAACACTCAGTAAATGTCAATGAAATGACAAAAGGAAAAACGCTTTGCAAAGGCCGCGCGCGTGGTCAGGTCCAAGGCCCTGCTCCTTGCTGCAGAGCCTGCATTTGAAACGCAAGGTTCCACCGCGGACGGCCACGCTGTGTCCCCACAGGAGGAAAGACATGCACACTTCCTGTGAGGCTTCTCCCGCCCCCCCGCCCTGCCCCGCCTTTTCTCTTCCAAAAGAATGTGAATGAAGCCTCTGCCCCCTGAGACCCGTGCACCACGCACGGCGCACGGCGAGACACAGGCCGAGTGGGCCCTTCCTCCTCCAGCCCTCTCCACCCACTCCGGCTCTGCCACTTCCCGCGATGCAAGCGCCACGAGAGGTAGGGGCTCTCCGTAACCTGTGTCATTAGGGCCCGGCCTGGACCCCTTCCTTCAGTTTCTCTGGATCCGAAAACAAGCCTGCAGTACCTCTGGGCAGAGCCCCTGGGCGAGGGCAGAAGGCACTGGCTTCCCCTGCCCAGCGTGGGAAGGAAGGCTCGCGTGCTACTGAGTGGTTCATGACAAGATGCAGGAGGTCAGGCCTCTGAGGACCGACGCCGCCCATCAGAGTCAAGTTCATTGGAAAATGCACACTGGGCCCCTCCCCCATGCTCCGTACTTCGCCTTGAACACAGGTCTGGAGCAGAACAGAGAGGCTGGGGGTGCGTCCACGTTGGGAGGTGGGGTTGGGACTTCTCCTTAAGAGTTTCTTCTTCCAGGTCGCTCCATACCACCTCCACCTCCACACGCCTGTTCCTGACCCACCCGTGACCCGGCACCCCAGCTGCCCGGGAGCCCATCCTTGCAGTGAGCCACAGTGGGTTCTCAACAGAGTGGACGACCCAGATGAGCCAGAGAGAAGCAGGAGTGACTTGGGGACAGCCGCTTCCTCCAGGCTGCACCTCCGTGGGAGGTGGACAAACCGTGCCCGTGGGGCTGGCGCTGAGACAGGCAGGTGGGTTTCTCTTCCTGGGCCAGAAAAGTCCCTTTTAAATTTCCGCTGCCATTGAGGCAAACAGCGGGGCTCAGACACACACAACGGAGATGAAAAACCTGCAACACACAGGCGGCTCCCCCTCCCCAGCTCCTGCCGGGACATTCCCCATGGCAGACGAAATCTTCACGGATTCACGTGCCAAGTCCGGTTCTTTGTCCACACACACACATACACACACGCTCTCCCTCGAGCCAACTTTTAGCCCATGCTGTGTCCTTGCAACACCAGTGCTCGGTTGGCTAAACTGAGCCCAGCCACGGTTTGCACCGGTGGGTGGTGCAGTTCAAACGGGAAGCCAGCGCCCGCCCTCCCCGCTCACTCGCTCTGAGTCTCCCCAGGGGTGCCTGAGCTCTCAGGGGAGGGGTCCCCTTCTGGGAGTCCCTACACAGGGCCTAGTATTTCATTGCAGGGGGTGCCCGAGGGTCTGTTTCCACTTGACCCCTAGAGGGCGTAGCTTCAGATGTGAGAAATGACTCGGAACGCACTCCAGCTCGTCGCTCGCACGCTCGCCGTGGCCTCGGCGACACGCGTGAAAGAGGGAGCTCAATGGCAGGCTCTCCACGGCAGCCTGGACCCCGTCCCACCCTGGGCGCGGCTCCGGCTGCCTGGCCAGCCCCGTGGGGCACGGCGTGCACGCGCCACGGAGGGCGGACGTGGGGCAGCGGAGGCGGGCAAAGATCCGTGCAGAGACGAGGTCTCAGGAGGGGGACCTGCAGCTACCCAGCGGTGGTTCCAGCTTGGCCTCCGCTGCGCGGGGTGGGGGTGCGGGTGGGGGTACGCAGACAGAAGCCCTGCAGGGGCGACAGCTTGCTCTCTGCCACGGAGAGGGTTTTCGGGATGGAGAGAAGGGATGCGAGGCCCCAAAGATGGGGTTCTGCACCTGCCGGGGGCGAGGGGGGAAGCTGGTGACCAGGCCTGCCCACTGCAGTGCTGAGCAGCCCTGGATGGGGAGGGACGGTGCCAGCCCCCACCCCGGGAGCAGCCCCCGCCTTTCCCCCAGCCCCCTTCCCACAGGGCTGCCGCAGGGACCCCAGGCTCAGCCCACGTTCACCCCACAGCTTGTGAGTGAGAAGAGGTGAGTGGGGAGGCCCAGGGACAAGAAGCCGCAGAGGGAGGGGCGGCTGAGGCCCGTGCCCGGCCTGCCCTCGGGGAGACCCTGCTGGGACCAGAGCCCCCTCCCCCCATGTAGAGCGTAGTGGGGCTGGCCGGGTGCTTGGAAGCCCCCACGGGGTTTCTTCCATCAACTCCGACTCCCATCTTTCCTTAAAGAAGGGGGGTGTGCCTCATTTCCTTGAGTCGAGTGCATTTTGAAGTGACAGAGCAGGGCCATGCACGTCTGGGATGGAGTTAGGACAAAAGAAGAGAGGAGCATCTGTCCCAGGGAACAGGCAGCAGCTAAGTCCCGCAAAGCGCACGGGCAGGGAGTGCCTGGCTCAGGGTGGGCTGCGCCCTCGGGCTCCAGGCATCTGAGGGCTGGGTGAGCTGGTGGCCTGCAGGGAGGAGCAGCCAGGCGCCGCTGGCTGGATTTGGGCTAGCTGAGGTGGGGCTGTCAGAGGTGCAGGGTGGGAGGACAGGGAGGCGGCCCCCTCGCCTGGCCGTGGGGAGCCCCCAGAGAGCTTGTTACAGCTGGGGCTTGAGCCAGGCTTTCTGGTGAGCGCTCAGGTGGGCACTGGAAGCATATTGTCATGCGGCAGGGGAGCAGGAGAGGGGGAACCTGAGGGTGGGGCCAGGGGTCCCGCTCTCCGGCATTGTCTTTCCACATACTACCTCTCCCCCCCCCCCCCCCCCCCCGCCATGCCCAGCCAATCCTTATCTGTAGGGTTTGAGTTTGCAGCCCCCAACTCCCACATTGCCTCTCTGCCCTTGGAGTGGCCAGGGTGGCCATGCTGGATGACCCTGACAACCCCGTCTTCCAGGTGAACCCCTGCCCCGCCTTTGGCAAGTCCTGCCCTGCATGGTGTGGTATTCATTAGCACTGCGCGGCCAACTGGTCCTCGAGGTGACAGCGTCTCATGCATTTCGCCCTTTCTCCAGTTACTCTTTTGCGTTTCCTTTTATGGTTTTCAATGTCTGGAAATGGCTTATTTTAGTCCGGAGGCTTGCAGTAAATGACCTAGCATTTAATATCTGTACTCGCAGACCTGGCATGGAACCCTGTCCGTGTCTTATCCAACTGTTTCACCGGCGTGCGAGGGTGCATTTATGGGGAGAGACATTTCCCATTTCATTGTCTTGTCAAACGGCGGCTGCTGGCACTTTCGGGCTCGGGACACTTGGAGAGAAGTGTGTCATCTAGTCTTCCTTCTTTGTCCCTTTCAAACCTTTGGCCAGTCAAGTGACTGCGCTAAGCCGTAGCTCGCCACTCGTGAAAGGGGACGGTGAGCCACCCTCCTACAGAGCTTTGCAGATGGGGTCGGGGGAAACACGCACATACATACGGACGGATACAACAACACTGTACGAGGGCTCCGTTGGGGAAGCCCCTGTGCCTGAGCTGCCTCCCATTTCTCCTCCGTCCCGGACACCCAGCGGGAGAGAGTGTGGCCTGCCTGTAGGGGCAGCCCCCGGCCCGGGGCCCCTCGGCCTGGGTGCCGCTTATCAACACATCTTTTCTTCTGACTGCACGTGTGTGGCGTGTTCTAGCCTTCTGCATCTGGCTTCTGCTGTGGCCTGGCCTTGGGTGCGAGGTTTGCCTCTGCCTTCAGTGTCTACGCCAGGACCTCGTGCCCGCCCACCCCTCGGCTGGCCGCTGCCGTCTTGACGGTGCTGCACGCCTTCTCCACGCTCAGCATTGCTCGTGCCGCTCCTCCCACCTAGAACGCCTGCTACCCTATCATAATTCTTACGCATCTCTCAGAGTACAGCTCCCTTATTCATGGGGAAGCCCTAAGCTGGGGCAGGGCTTGGAGCTCAACGCAGCACATGTGTAGCCTTTATAAGAAACCGGTCGCAGGTGAGTGTTCTAGCTCTCCGTAGGTGCCACGGGCAGGGGTTGTCCTGCCTGCTGTTGGATGCCCAAGTCCAGCCTACAGTAGATGTTCAATAAGTATTTGTTGAACGAATGAATGAATGAAGGTGGGTTTAGCGTTTGACACTCGCTCCTACTTTGTGTCTGGAGAGTAGGCCTCTGTGCTTCGTGCTGTCCTCATTTCCCAAGGACGCCTTCTGCACGGCACCAGCCTCTGGAGATGGAGGCCCACTCTGGGAGGGGGAGAGGCCTGGGCTCCACAGCTCCATGGCTGCGGCAGGGGCTGGGCTGCCCTTGTCCAGGCTCAGGCGGACACTGTGCCTTCCAGCTGCCCGTCCCTTTGGGTCCTCATGGGCCCCTGAGCCATGCCTGCCTGCTCCTCTCCTTTCCAGGCGGCTTGCCCAGCCCTGTCCACCTTGCTGCTTGTGGGGCCTGCTGAGCCACCTCCCTCCCTGAGCCTCTTCTGCGCCCTGCCCTGGACGGCCAGTTCTGCCCTGCCCTGAGCCTTGGCTTCAACGGCTGCCCCCAACTGTCAGCAGAATGTTCCACCCTTAAAATTCTCAGGGGTTGGTGCCCCGGCTCTGTAGCCAGGCAGACTCCCAGGCCCTGAGGACGGGGTCCACCCTTCTGAGCCGGCTCAGCCGTCGGCACACAGGGACCATACAGCCTTGGTTTCCGCCAGGGCAAGGCAGTAGCCACCCCACACAGGGCCTCACTTGCCTGGCTCCACAGTGGTGTCCCAGGTTCTTCCTGCCTTGGCTACAAAGAAACCCCCTGTGGACACGATGGCAGGCCCAGCCAAGGGCCAGAGGACCCCCTGCCGCCTTGCAGCCCAGCTCTGGGAGCCCCCGAGCCCGGGTCGTGGCTGCTTCCCAGTGGCTCACGGTGCCAGGCTGTCGATGCTCCTACGTCTCCGCTCTTAGGACCGGGCTGGGCTGTGGCGGAGGAGGGGAGGCCGGGCTGCTGGCTCAAGGAGACTGGGCAGAGGTGTCACCCCGAGCAAATGCATGAACTCAGGTGCACACACGCCCTCCACTGCCCTGCCTGGGTTTCCTTCTCCAGTGAGACTATCAGCATTTTTTCTTCTACTTTGTGTCTTTAATAAAGCCCAGGTGCACAAGGTCGGGGAGCCAGGCACCCATCTCATCGTTGCTGGCTGCGATCCTGGCGGGCCCAGGGCACGGCTCGCCGTAACTGCTCATCAGTCATTCATGCCTGTGCATTCGGGTGATAGCTGTTAGCCTCTACCTGCCAAGCATTAGCCAAGTGTCAGGCAAACCGAAACCGACGTCACCCTGGTGTCTTTAAAAGAAAGAAACTCTCACTTCTGTGTGGGGCACAGATCAGAAGAAGGGGAGGTTGGAACTGGTCAGGAGGGCCCTCGGCCTGGGTGAGGACCACTGATGGGCTCCAGGGACCAGGAGTCTGCCCATGGGGACAGCACGCATGGGGGGGGGGGGGGTCGAGGCTTGCTGAGCCAGGGTTATTTACATGCAGAGCTCATGGGAACAACGTGAGCCGCACAGAGTTGGTGAATCGTGTCCCGATTTGTAATTATTCCACAGTGTGGTTGAAAGAGTAGAAACTGAGGGTGTGTTCGGGAGCAGAGAGGGAGCCCTCCAAGGCAGGCCGAGGAGGGTCAGCCAGGGAGGCAGGAGGGGCATCTGGAGTCGGGGTGGCCCTGGCGCCCTGGGAGCTGGCTCCTTGGCGGCACACCCTGCGCAGCCCGAGTGTGACAAGTAGGAGCGGATGGGGCTGGCCGGCCACTGATGCTCCCTGCGCAGGCTGGGCGGGTCCCGGAAAGCTCCAGAAGCTTTGATGGCAGGAGGGGAGCCGGCGGATGCTCCAGGCGAGAAAGGGAACACGGAGACTGGGGGACAGGAAGTGAGGGCGCTTTCTAGAGCTGCTCTGGGATTAAGAAGCCCAACGGGAGGGCTCAGAGGGGAACGGAAAATGTGCAAGGTGGAGGAGCGGCTGCAGCAGGGAGTGTGGGCAGTGGCCCTGGGGCCACAGGGCCAGCTCAGCTCTGGTCACTTGGCTCCCAGAGGCACCCACACTTGCCGCTGGGTCAGGAGACAGACAGAGGGCCCTTTCCCTGACAGGTGGAGTTTGCTTCCGTAAAAGGAAATAGCATAGCTGGGGGCGGGGGTAGGGATGGAGTCTGGGAGGGCAGTGAGGGTCTGGAAGCTTCCAAGAAGTCTCCAGGGTCTGCCTACCCCAGGCTTGTCAGAGCTGCTCTGAGCTTCCACAGTACAGAGACCAGGGGCCGTGCGTGGAGAGACAGGCTGAGCGGGGCTGGCAAGGGTCCCTGGGACCCCCAGCCTGCAGGGGAGACCCTCATGGTGATGCCAGATCACACAGACACAGCGCCGTCCCACCTAGGCTCAGACAGAGGCCGGGACAATGTGGGCAGAGGGCACTCCCATGTTCAGACCCCCTCCCGGTGTGACTTCCTCAAAGTGCTCTCCAAGGCAAGACACAGCTGGGGCGGGGGGGGGGGCACCATCGTCCTTGATGGGGCCCCCAGGACCTGAAATGGACAGCTGTGAAGTGGCTCTCCCACACGCGGGTGCCAGTGCTGCACCCGCAGCTCTCTGTTCTCATCTCTAGAGAGAGAGAGAAGAGGAGAGGAGAGGAGAGGAGAGGAGAGGAGAGGAGAGGAGAGGAGAGGAGAGGAGAGGAGAGAGATATCTCCCACGTGCTGGTTCCCTCTGCAGTGCAGCAGCTGAGACTGAGCCAGGCCACAGCCAGGAGCTGGGACTTCAGTCGCCATGACACGGGGGGAAGGGACCCGAGTGCTTGGACCATCACTGCCACTTTGCGAGGTTCACTGCTCTTTGCAAGGACTGAAGCCAGGACTCAAACCCAGGCCCTCTGATATGGAATGTGGGTGTCGCGAGCGTGGTCTTAACTGGGGCTGCCCCAAATCCCAGGGCCAGCCTGGTGTTTGTTGGAGCATCTTCTAGGTGCTGAGGCTGGGGAGCCAATGGCCACGAGACACAGACGGTGCCTACACAGCTGGTGCCGAGGACATGACGAAGTCAGACGCTGACACATTCTGGTTAATGCCATGGGAAGAGTGGGGCGGGGGTCTCTTCCGTCGGGTCACGGCACTCCCGTCAGGTGAGACAGCATGGGGCGTTGGCCACCCCACACAGGACTGACGTGGGTGTGGCGTCTTCCCCTGGCCAGGTGGCTACGGCTGTCACACGAGGGCACTCCTGCCTTGTTGGGTGGCCACACAGAGCTCCGGGGACGGGGGTGCATTGGGCTGGTACAAGCACAGAGTGCGCCGAGCCCGCTGACCACGATGTGACACCGTGGCCGAAGCTGCCGTTGAGTAGGAACGGCCGTGGAGTCATGTTCAGCACTGCAAGGAGATGACTGCTGAAGGGGGACAGAGCGGACAGGAGAGGCTGGGCTGTCTTAGAAGACGAGGAGGAGACCCCAGGTTTGTGCACAGCGGACCAGCCAGAGGGCGTGCCAGCGGGCAGCACACAGCACTCCCGCCGGGGCCCGTGCTGGGGCGGGTTGTGGCTAGTGCTGCTCAACCTTCATCACGGCCCCCTGAGTTGCAGAAACCAGAGCAGCTGGGCTGTCCCCGAGTGCTCAGAAATGTGACTTCCAACTCGCGAATGAGCTGCAAGGACTTGGAATCATAGGACGTCCCCAAGTCGTCACGCCCGAGGACAGCTGAGGACAGCTGCACCATGACCAGAGGGACGCGCGGGGCCAGCATCAAAAGGACGCAGCTTTGCAACAACGTCCCATTTTGCATCACCACTGTAGCAAGATAAGGGCCCAAAGTGCTGGAACCAGGGAAGGCCTTCCTCTGGGGAGAGACCGGTGTCCTGGGCTGGACACTGCTGTGACAATGAGGACCTGTGCCACGCCTGCTAACCACGTCACAGGGCCACTGCAGACCGTGGTCACCACTCGTAGCTCTGTGTGCTGCAGCAGTGGAGATTTGGGGAAAATTAGCGTGAAAGCAGCATGTGCCAAGGTGTTCTGACAAAGGCGTTATGTCAGCCAAGCTCGCACCTCAAAAGAGCGGAGCAGTGTAGCAAACATTCCAGCACATTCCAGCAGTGGTCCGGGGGCGGGGTGAGAGAGGGACTCCCTGGAGCGGATCTGAGCGTGGGAGGAGAGAGGGTCCGCTTCTTCCCCGAGGGGAAGGACTGACTGTGGGGTGCGGTGGGGTTTGGACGTCTGCGGCTGCCTGGCGCTCTGTGCCTGCCGAGCCTGACCCCCCGCTTTCAGCAGCGTCCGAGGACGGCACTTTCTCCAGCGGAGTCCGCCTCGGCGTTCTGGAACTGTAGAAGTCAGTTTTTAGGAATGACCCCGTGTGAGGAACAAGGGAGGGTGTTTGGGACGGGAAGAGCCAGAGCTGCCCGCGGCTGGGAGCAAGGGGACCTCTACTCCTATTGGCTGCAATGACTCACAGGGCGGTAGGAGCCCTGGGGGAGGCTCAGGGATGGAGAAAGGCGGAGCTGCACGGGCTGGGGGCGGGGAGCAGGTGCAGAAGGGCCGGGGGCTTCCTGCTTCCCCACGGACAGACGGCGGTGGGGCCCTGCACTTGGTGGAAGATGCCACCCCGGAGTGGGAGGTGGAGGGACCCCACCCTGCACAGAAGAAAGATGTGACATCACCAGGAGAGGTTACGAGGTCAAGGGTCCCCAAAGTGATACGTTACACACAAGCCAATCAAAATTGCATTTTTTTTTTGAATGTGGAATGGTATTTCCTCCACTGTTCAGCTGGAAACATTTATTTTTTAAGAACAAGTGAAAGTAGCCCAGGAAGGGAGTGAGGAAGTAAAATAAGTGGGCAGAGGCTCGCATGGGCAGATTTTAAAACCTCACACTAAGTGGCAGGTGCAATAGATGGAGAGCCGAAGACCCAGGTCCAGGTTCACTCCGTCTGAGTCCAGTTTTGGAAACGCATCCCTGCAGAGAGCCAGGCGAAGTCAGGCAACCCCACAGTGCCGGGCGAAGGCTGGGGCGAGGGTGCCGCCTCCGTCAGAGCGCATGGCCCCTCCCCCGCCACGCCCCCACGGTTTCCTGTCCAGTCACTGGTGCTCAGCTGCTCAGCTGGCCCGGTCCTTAAGGCTTTCTAACCGGAAACTGAGGTGCATCACACAAAGCTGATGCTTTTGACGCTCCTTAAAAGCGTGAAGAAGGCAGAGGCGAGAACAGGGCAGGGCTGGGAGGCAGTGCCTCAGCCCCAGCCCCCCCTCGGAGAATGGGGACTGAGTTCCTTCCCCTCTCCCCCCCTAACCAGCGTGGTCACTGTGGATTGCAGATGCGAGCTTCCGCCTTTAGCGACTGCATCAGTCCTGGTGGCATCGCAAGCCAGCGATCGGGGCGTAACTCAGGCAGTGGTCGGCACAGAGCTCACCGAGTCATTCTCCCCCGGTGCCTGCTGGAGGGCCGACCAGGTGCTGGCCTGCCTGCGGTGTGCACAGGACACACCAGGCTGTCCAGCGCCAGGCAGCACCCAGGGGAGGGGGTACACGATGGCGCTGAGCCAAGCAACCGATGTGCAGCTTGACAGGTGGCTGGAGAGATGAGGGAGAAGGAGTCTGTCCAGGAGAACAGAAAGTGGTGGGGGTCGGTGGTCCTCAAGGTGGGGTTCTCGAGGGGAGGAGACCTAGGGAGGTGGGGCCAGGCCCTGGGTGGGTCTGGGGGGAAACTCCCTGGACCTGGCTGCAGTCGGGGTGACTCAGGTTTACCGCCTCTGCAGAGCACGTGTGTTAATTACGCGATCAGTAAGGACTTGATTCATACTTTTTAAACAATTGAAAGAGTATATGTTTCAGTGTTTAAATAGCCAGCTTTAGTAGAATTTCGCATAAGGAACTTACAGAACGCATTTTCTTCTTTTAGCGACCACAGTTAGGGCCTGCATTGCGATGAAGCGGCTGCAGCTGCCCCTGAAATTCCAGCATCCTGAAGATCACCGACCGCTGGCAGTCACTGCCGGTCCCCACACCTGCCGGGAAGCTGCAGAAGATAGCCCAAGTGCTTCGGGCCCCACACCCACATGGGAGATCTTGATGGCATTCCAGGCCTTGGACTGGCCCAGCCCTGACCTTCGTGGCCTTTTGGGGAGTGAACCAGTAGAAGGAAGAGCTCTCTAACTCCACCTTTCACATAAATAAAATACATCTTTAGAAGATGCCTATAGCTACCCCTTAACATTATCACGTTGTGTTCAGTGTTTACATTTTCTGTGCTAGTAACTTGCCTGATGCCTTTCCCACGGGAGCAGCGAGCCAGCCATGTGGCCGCTCTTCATGGGGCTCTGCTCGGTGGAGTTACTGCTCTCAGCTGCACCACCATGGCTCTGGGAAACTTGTGCCCACTGTCCGGGTCAGAGGCAGAGATTTTGGAAGCCACGTGATGGCCCCAATGATCTCTTGGAGTCACCAGGGCCATCTTCCCCTTTTCTTGGTGCACAGCTCAGGTTCCTAGTGGTAAACTCCCAGGAGCCCAGCAGTCTCCATCCCTTCGGTCCAAACTGGCAGTCTGCTCTTTAGGACAGAAGGTGAGGTCAAGGGGCACACCTGTGCCGATGTCCTTGCCACACGGTTGAGGCTGGTGAGGGCAGGTGCAGAGCCATCCCATGTTGAGGCAGGAAGCAGAGGCAGAGAACTAGGCTGACCTTGAACTCAGGTAGTGAGAACCACTCCCAAGGGGAAAACCCTCAGTGACCCAAGGGCCTCCCACTGGTCCCATCTCGCAGTCCCCACAGCTGCCTCAAATGTCTTCCCTCAATCCATCTACTGTTAACATTAAGACATCAGGGTTTAAACATGCTGCGTGAGTTTTGGGGAGACGAGTCGTGCACAACCCACAGCAGCAGTCCCTTCAAGGCAGACCCTGGCTGTTTCTAGTGTGCTGGCCAAAATGTCTCCAGCCTCGTCTCATTATCAGACCCCACAGCTGCATCTGACGGGGACTCCAGGGCCCGGAAGGGAAAGAAGGGAGTACGCCCACAGGAAGTGCTCCCCCAGGGATGGGGAAGATGCTGTACGGTCTGCAGAGTTCTGTGCAAAACGGGCTGCTCCACTGTCAGACCCCTGATTGGTTCACACAGACTACCTCGTTAGCATACACCTCAACCAATCGGGTGTAGCATACAGAAATCTGAGCCAGGCCGTCTTGAGGATCGGTTCAGGGCAAGCAGCAATTTTGGGTTGGGCGCCCCCTTGTGGGGGGGCAGTGCCCTGGGGCAGCCCTCCCAGCTGCCAGGGGGACTTTCTCTGTCCTTTTCAGTAATCGTGGTCGTGAGACAAAGAACCTGGCAGGGCAGGGGATCTGTCACCCAGAAAGCTATAGCACTGGACGAACGCCCAGAGAGGCGAAGCGGTGACCAGGCGGGAGAGGACGGAGAGGCTGTCGCACACACAAAGCTGCAACACGGGAGCCTTGCTGCTCCGGAAGATTCCGGAGAGAAGCATCTGCACGTCTCTCCCGGTGGGATGCAGACCCGAGCGGCTCGAGCTGCAGTCTCCCCTGCCGCTGCTGGAGCGCCCCCGGCAGAACCGCCGCCTGCTCACATCTTCGAGTAATCCTCACCGCAGCACCACACTCCTCAGTGCCAGTGTCCACGTCAGCTACGACGCGCACAGTTGTCTTACAAGCCGGAGGCTGGGAAGTCCCTGATGCAGGTGCCAGCAGGTGCAGTGTCTGGTGCAGGCTGACTTGGCGGGGTGTGGACAGCTCTCCTCTCCCTGTGTCCATACATGCTGGACAGAGAGTCTCTCTCAAGCCTCCTAAGACAGGCAGCAATCCTATTTATGATGGCTCCACCCTCATAGCTGAGTCATTTCCGGAAAGATCCACCTGCTGAGCCGTCATGGCTGGGGATTAGAGCTCCAACACGTGCACCTCGTAGGGACGCAGACATTTAACTGAGGGCATGGACTAAGGTTACGATTCTCTGGCTTTATGGTCATTCTATTGTTGTGTACCTCGCAGTCATGTACTACGACTAGCATTGCAGATGCAAGCTTTTCCCAAAGCTGGCTCAGACGATTCTGAACCGCGGTCTAAAAACCTATGGAGATGAGCAGGTGTTTGCATAGACCTAATATCTGCAGGTGTGTGTGTGTGTGTGTGTGTGTGGAGAGAGAGAGAGAGAGAGAGACCCCCATCCCATCCCCAGGCATAAGCTTAGGCCCGGCATTTGCCAACATGCAGAGTGTCAGAATTTCTGTGATTTCTGACTGCTGCTGTAGCTGAAGCAGGGTCAGGTCAGGTGGCCTCGGCTCACTTTCCTGGGGCACAGCCGGTTTCGATGCTGCCGTGAGATTCCTTTCCCCGGCCTCGTTTCCCCGGCGTTCTGATGCGGGCATGAAAAACTGCCTTCTTCAACTCAAGTTGCCGCCCGATTTTGCCCACGTGTGTTTCTGTCTCTCCCGTGGAATTTTACCGATAGGAATCTATTTCTGTGAACCATCCCCCACCCACCCACCCGCCCTGGGCTCTTGTTTGCTGAGGATTTCAGCCCTCGGACGGAGGAGGTAGCCAGACAAACAGGGCTTGTGGCTCCGAGCCCCATTGTGGCCATCTCAAGGGCGTGGGCTGTGCAGCGAGCGGCAGCTGTCCAGAGTGCAGTGTTGGGTTTGGATGGATCCTGGCTCTGACCAGGTATCCGGCAGGGAGCTAACGGATACAGTGTGTTCCTACTTTCTTTGAAGACGATAAAGCAGCTTTATTTCACGGGGCTTAAAAATGCAGCAGATCTGGTCGCACCAGCTAAGTGAAATTTTAAATGGGAGTTCTGAGGCCCTGAGAGTCACTTTTCAGATTCAGGCTTTGTGTTAATGTCTCTGCCAGGGAGGGGCTAGAAGGGGGTGCAGGCCAGGGGGGCTGCCCAAGGTCTCCGTTGCTTCACAGTGGGCAAGATGGCACCAGGCGTGTTCTGACGTAGCCTGCAGGCCGGAGGCATCCGGGCTCCGTCCAGTGAGTCCCCCCTTTTGTGCCGTGCTGTGTCCCGACCCTGGAGACCCCAGGTAAGGACACTGTGCACTGGAGAGCCCCCGGGGGACTGCTTCATTTCTTTCATGTCGCGTGTTGGTTTTGAAATGAAGGGCTTACAAATGGCGGGTCTGATTCCTGGATATGCTGTGAGGTTTGGGATAAACCAACTGGGCTGGCAGACCCGCGCCAGCCCCAGACGCATCCCCGAGTCCCACTGTGTGTGCCGCAGACAGCAGCCTGGTGTCTCATGGGTCTTTGACCAGAGGCTATGAAGAAAACCCAAGTTATTTCAAAAATGTGTTTGCTTTAGAGAAATGTGTTTGTGGATGTGTGTTTTGAAAACATTCCTGGGGATGCTGGGGAAGACATTGGCCACCAAGGCGGCAGCCGTGTCCCCGCCCGGGAGCTTTAGCAGGGTCTGCCTCCACCGAAGGCGTCGCTGCCTCCAGCCGGATCGGCGGCTGGGTCAGAGAGAGGCAAGGCGGACTTGTCCCGGGGCCTCAAGCTGTTCTCAGCATCTCACCTGCCAGGTGCTGGGAGAAACACCACCCGGGGTTTTGCGATAGGCAATTGTAAAGTACCCAACCCGACTCTCCCGGGAGCTGTCCAGGGAAGGCCCGGCCCGGTTTGTCTGCTCTGCCACTGGCACGCCTGTACTCACCTTCTCGGCACGAAGGCGTCTCCAGAGAGGACGGGGGAGCGAGTGGACGTTTGAAGAGCAGGCATCGCTTCAGAGTTCTGGTCAAACTCTGGCACTGGAATGGAGAGAGAAGAGCAGGTGCGAAACCTCCAGCCCCAGAATGGCTCTGCAGGAGCACCTGTGCCCTGTGGCCTCGCCTGGCCACGCCCACCTGTCCGTCTCTTCCACTCCTGCCTAGACCCTCTGTGTCTCGATGCCTGTAAAGACCAAAAGGACAACTAATGTGTCTGGAATCAGAGCTGTGACTCTGGGATTGGCAACATCAGAGAAGTCAGCTCATTCAACCCCCCGGCTACTCTGAGGCTGCCTGCCCCATGGCCCACCTGTGTTCTACAGCACAGGTGCGTGGGTCCAACCTCAGTCTGGAGACGATGCGTAGGGACTGTGCCCTGTGCAAAGAAAGCCACTTTCTTCCCTGTGGGGCTACGGTCAGAGCTCCTCGGGCCTTTGAAAGTCACTGGAACAGAGAAATGGGAAGAGTGAGCCTGGACCCCACACCTGTGTGGGTGCGTCCTGCCTTGGCCGGAGCTCAGCTGGTGCGGTGCTGACTTTGTTCATCTTGGCCTCCAGCGAGCTGCCGTGCGGGAGGTGAGGTTGCGGGTCCTGGGAGACTGAGGGCCTCGGGCAACCTTGGCATTTGACGGCCTGTGGTCATGAGCGCTCGCTCTAGAACAGGGCACTCAGCCGGCCAGCGGGGAAGAAAAGACCCCTGAAGGGCAGTCATTTGTCGACAAAGCCCCTCTGGGAGCGGCTCCTGGAGTCGTGTGGGCCTCCCCGTGAAGGACTCGGGAGCTCCGGAGAGCAGCTGTGTGGCATCCTTAGGCGCCAGGAGGAAACAGCCTGAGAACGGGAGCTGGAGTGGGCGGTGCTTGGGAAGGCCGTCCTCAAACGGGGTGGGATGGAGAACGCTGATTGACAGCAGGTGCCCTGGTAAGGAGGCTTCTGGGTACCGTAGATTTATGATAGTTAAGCCAGTGAACTGTTTGCATCAGGATAAACACAGATCTTTGGACCACAGTAGAGAGTTTAGAGACAGAGCCATTTGTATTTGGGCATTAATTAGTAAAAAAAAAGACGCGAGGGAATTTGGTGGAGAAAGGACCAATTTGTTCAGCGGCTCTTAATTGAATCGTTGGTTGCCTATGTGCAAAACACAGTGATCCTTGGCTCTCAGATTAAATAAAAAACTACTTCAAAATGGAAAACTGCCCCGAGAGTATGAGCTGAACTACACAGCATCCGGAAGGAGGCACCACAGAAGACTTTTTTTTTTTTTTTTTTTACTTTGGCTTAGACAAGGATTTCACAGTTTAGACACAAGAATGCTGAGACCACACACACACAAAATGAAAGGTAAATCATTCTCTATAAAAGCTAAAGCTATCTATTCCTACATAGGTGTTGTCAAGAAAATGCAAAAAGCAAGGAATAACTTGGGAGAAAATACATACGAAGCCGATAGCTAATAAAGCGCTTACGAGAGGCGCCGCAGAGAACGCTAGCGCTCAGCAATACGAAGAGAAGCAGTCGCGTGTGGAGGGAGGCAGTGGTTTCGAACACGTTCCCCAAGCAGATGCGGAGCTGGTGAGTAAGCACACGGACAGAGGAGCCGCGTGGTTAGCCTCAGGAAAGGGCAAGGCCACGCCCCGGTGAAGTGAGACGCCACCGTGCATGCCCTAGAGCGGGTGAAATGAAAACGAGCGACCCCAGCGCGGAGGGGGCCGGGGACGCAGCAGCTGAAAGTCCCATCCGTGAGCGGTGGGAGTGCAAATGGCACCGCGTGCTGACCAATGGAAACACAAGCGTGTGCTCACACAGGCCTGCACTCGAACGTGCAGAACAGCCTGCAGCTGCACACAACCCGGTTGCTCATCGACTCGAGGATGGATAAACACCCGGCCGTGTGACCCACAGAAGGGCTGACACGGAGGCGGGAACTCCCGCAATGTGCAGCAGCAGGCGGGATTCGAAAAGCATCACGCTAAGTGAGCGGGCGTGGACACGGGCGTGGACACGGGCGTGGACACGGGCGTGGACACGGCGCGTTTGTAATGCGTTTGAAATCCCACTAAAACAGCATCACAGCGACAGCAGACGGGTGGTTTTTAAGGGCCAGGGGCGGCGCTGGGGTTCAAATGCGACAATGGGACCTCCCTGGCTGTGGTCACTCAACGGTGCAGGTGCACACTTGTCAGAACCTGTTGAAATACACACTCAAAACCGGCCATTCACGCAGATTTAAAAAGGTGAACAGGTTAACCGGCACCAGAGTTACAGGAGAGCCAGGAGTGTGCATGGTAAAGGCATCGCTTGGGACGTGTGCTTCCTGTAAGGGTGGAAGGGCGAGACAGAGAGGAGACGGACCACGGACCCCCAGCCAGACAGCTTTACTGAGAGGGAGCCACTGCCGGCGAGGGTGGGAGCGCTGCTGTCAGACTAGGTGTCCGGACAGCCTGGGTGGGCGGGCACTTGGCTGAGGCAGGGGGGAGCTGGCTGAGGAAGAGCGCAGGGGGTGGGCAGAGCGGAGGCTGGGGCTGCGCTCAGTCACTTGGGCAAGGGACCGAAAAGTGGGGGCAGCTTCAGATCACCTCCCGTTCTGGCTCGCATGCTGCGGCACCACCCAGTCCCTGCTCTGTTCCGGATTCCAGCTTCGGGATCAGCCGCGTGCTGGGAGTAGCAGGTGATGGCTCAGGGGGTCCGGGATCTGACGCCCCTATGGGGACCCTGGGCTGAGTAGCCAGCTCCTGCTTTTGGTCTGGGCCAGCCCCACCCAGATGCTGTGGGCTTTGGGGGCGTGAACTAGTGGGTGGGAGATCTCTCTCTCTCTCTCTCTCTCTCTCTTTCTCTCTCTCTCTCTCTTCTCCTGCTTTTGGTCTGGGCCAGCCCCACCCAGATGCTGTGGGCTTTGGGGGCGTGAACTAGTGGGTGGGAGATCTCTCTCTCTCTCTCTCTCTCTCTCTTTCTCTCTCTCTCTCTCTTCCTGTCTCTCTTTCAAATAAAACAAGCATAAAAATTTTTAAAAATACATAAGTAGGGATAATTTGCTGCCCTAGAATACTGATGTCAATAAATTATCTAGAACAGTACCAGAAAGAAAAAGGGATAAAAAATAAAGAGGTTAACGAGTATACATACATAAAATACTACCTTTCTGTTAATATAGACACACAAATACAAGCATATTTTATTTTATTTTTTTTTGACAGGCAGAGTGGACAGTGAGAGAGAGAGACAGAGAGAAAGGTCTTCCTTTGCCGTTGGTTCACCCTCCAATGGCTGCCGCGGCCGGCGCGCTGCAGCCGGCGCACCGCGCTGATCCGATGGCAGGAGCCAGGAGCCAGGTGCTTCTCCTGGTCTCCCATGGGGTGCAGAGCCCAAGCACCTGGGCCATCCTCCACTGCACTCCCGGGCCACAGCAGAGAGCTGGCCTGGAAGAGGGGCATCCGGGACAGAATCCGGCGCCCCAACCGGGACTAGAACCCGGTGTGCCGGCGCCGCTTGGTGGAGGATTAGCCTAGTGAGCCGCAGCGCCGGCACAAACACAAGCATATTTTAAAAACTCCATGGAAGGGGCGGACATGTGGCACAGTGGGTGAGGCTGCCGTCTGTGTCCCCTACGGGTGCTGGTTTGAGTCCTGGTTGCTCCACAAACGTCAGTGAACCGGGAAAGCAGCAGAAGGCGACCCGGGTGCTGGGGCCCCTGCCAGCCACATGGGAGACCTGGAAGAAGCTCCAGGCTCTGACCTGGCCCAGCCCTGGCCGTTGGGGCCATCTGGGGAGTTAAGCAGTTTGAAGAGTTCTCTTTCTCTGTCTCTGTCTCTCTCCCTCTGTAATTCTGCCTTTCAAATAAAATAAATACTAAAAACTTTTTTTCAAAAGTCTATAGAAAAATGACACGAAAAGATAAGTTTATTTTGGTGCATGTACAGTTTTTTCATCATATGTATTTCCCATGAGCTTTTTGGAGAGCTCCTGGTGTGGAAAAATGGAACTAAAATGTAAAATGCAGTGTGTGGATTCCCCGGAGTGACGCGTGGGAAGGGCCAGACACACAGCCCCCTCTCAGTACATGTTAACTCCCCTGCTCCCCCTTGGAGAGTGAGTTCTGCTTGGGTTCTCCCAGCCCAGCAGGGTTCCTTTGGCTGCAGGCTGTGGGGTTGGGGGGGCCTCACCTGTACCTGAACCTTGTGACCCTGTCAGGGAACCTGGGGTCTCCATCCCCACCCACCCTACCTGTTCTTGGAGGGCAGGAGACACTGCACCCCCTCGGCCTCCAGGCTGCTGTGTCAGCTCAAAGCCTCCTCGCTGGCATTTCAGCCCCAGCCTTCCAGGGACCCGGGACAGGCACCTGCCTGGAGCCCGGCTCCAGGGGAGCCGTGTGCCCCACCCCCGGGAGACATTTCCCGACCTCCACCAGGGCAGGTGCAGTGGGTGGGCGGCTGTGGGTAAGGAGGGGCCTCTTGGCCTTGACCCTGCCTCTGCGTGGGAGGGAGGTGGGTCCGGAGAGGGAAACCCGATCACAGGCCAGGAGGAACCGGAGGCTTTTAGCCCAAGTGCCGGTCACCAGGGGCGGCTGATACCATCGCTCACCACAACTGCTTTTAGCTCCCTGCCTCCCTGGGGCAGGATGGGAAGCCAGCAGCGGAGACCCGAGAAGGGGACTAGGACAGGCCCTTGAGAGAGCTGGCAGGTGCAGGAAGTGGGCGAGGCGGAGGGGCTGCAGACTCCAACAAAGCTCTCCTTCCCCAGACCTGAGCTCTGTGAGTTTGTCTGAATTCCTCCTCTCAGAAGTGGAGACGAAGTCCCCTTGGGGAAATCGGCTGGTCCGGAGCACAGAGCAAGCTCTTTCGAACATGAGGCTGGGTCTCTCCCAGGATTGCTGGGGTGAGAGCCCTTTGGCTTGCATTGGCCGGAAAATCCCCTGGGCCCGCTTTTCTCCCCGAGTGCTGGGGGCAGCAGTGTGTCTGGTGGCCGAGACCCTGGCCTGGCTCAGAAGCTGCCCTGGAGCAGCACCGGCGCAGCAGGTAAAGGGGGCGTCAGGCCCCGCGCAGCCGATGTGGAGCTGGCGTGGCGCGCTGGAGCTGGGCGCTGCGTCTCCTGTGCACCTGGCCTTCTGTTTGGTTAGTGTTTTGCTGATGGGTTGAGGCCAAGGAGCTAAGCCACACACGGGGGTGATTATCAACCATCTTAGATGGCCACAGACACCACGCCAAGCCCTGTTTCCACTGTTTCCAAACCACCTCCGGTAGGCTGCAAAGGAGCTGGGCCACACAGTTCTGGATGCGTCGGTTTGATTGTTGTATCATTCCTGTCAGGCAGAACAAGATGCCTGTTACTGGCCACAGTGTCATCTTTAGAAAAAGGGAGATTAGGGGAAAAACCAGTGGAGTGGTTTCTCCAGGCCTGCTGCCAAGTAAGTGCATCATCCCACTGATCTTCAATATCATGGTGAGAGACAGCACTGTTTTCTATGCCCCCATTTTACAGGTGGGGAAACTGAGGCCCATCCGAGCGGTTAAGCCACAGGCACGGGGTGTAAGGGAGGTGGGGCCTAGCCTAAATATTGTGACTTCCGACCCTCTTGGTCTGCCTTCAAAGTGGCACCTTATACCTGCCATCGGCCACCACTCCTGCCTTGTCTCCCTCCTCATCTTACTAATGAGGCCCCGCCCTCCCCTGGTGCTGGGGGCGGAGCAGGAGGTGGGCTCTGCACTTGAGCTGGACCAGCGTAGGTGAGGAGGGAAGGCTCAGAGCTGCAGGAACCCAACCCCAGCGAGGCGGTGCGGGGGCGTCAGGGAACCTTCCGGAGAGAAGGTGCAGCGGGCCCCTCCTGTGGGATGTTGAGCAGCGTTCCTGGCCACACGCACGTCGACAGTGGAAAAGCTCTCCAGACACGGCCAGGTCCACCGGGCTCCAGTGCCAGCGTCTTCACCCCTGAGCCACGGCCCGTGGCAGGCTGCTGGGAGTCCCAGGCTGCTCCTGCAGTGGGGCTTATTGAATTTCCACTAGAGCCGGCCTGTCAGACGCCAGTCACCTCACTGCCTTCTCAGAAAGCGTGCGAACCCTGTGCGGGAATCCGTGCTGCTCTCGGATTTCCAAGGCCTCATCCTCGACAAGATTGAGCTGCGCCGCGGGACCAAGGGGCGGGCCCCGCCAGAGCGGACAGTGATGTGGTGCGGTGTTGGCTTTCTGTGCTCGCTCCGCTGAGTGCCCCGGTCCAGTGCCCGCTGGACCCAGCTGTGGGCGGAGCGGGGTCTGATCCACACGGCGCGGTCATTCTCACTCCTCCTGTCTGCTCTCCACCGCTCTGTCCTGCAGCTCTTCTCTGCTTGTTTTCTCTGTCCTGATTCCCTCTCCCCTGGCTGGCTCGGCACACAAACAGTTAAGGCTGCATTGGAAGGATGGAAGGACACGGATGGTGCTAATGCGACATCGCTCCTATCCCACGGAGGAGCCGGGCGGAAGGGGGGGGTGACCCTGGACTAAACAGCTGTCAAGGGCAGCGCTTGGTTTATCTTTCATGGAAACAGAGGCCTCATGAATCCTAAATGCAGAGCAGCTGATGGGGCAGGCAAGGCTGCCCAGCCCATGCGGGCACTGTGGCGGGTCCTGCCGCTGCCCCGCGCAGCCATCCTGGGACAGACGCGTCCTGGGCTGGCCGCGTGTGAGGACGACGTCTGTGCACCCCTGGAGGACCAGCACCGTGGACAGGCTTGGCAGCCTGCAGCAATGCCAGTGGCGTCTGTGCGAGGGCGGCCGCGCCCAGGCCCGGCCCACACCCTGGGGTCCGCTCGCAGGGCCTGGCCCCGGGTGACCTGCAGGCCTCCTCCGGCTCCTCTGATGGCCGCTTCCCCTCCGGTTTCTCCTGGAACACGCATCAGCGGGCGCTTTGAATTCTAGTGGAAGGAGGCTGGACTTGGGAGAGGAGCGGCGCCTCCCTCCTTCACCTGTGAGTGGGTTGTGAGTGGGTGCCCTGCGCGAGTGACCGCAGCTCCGGGAGCCTCAATTCCCGCGCGTGCTTTTGAGAGGCAGAGAGACCGAGACAGAGAGAGAAATGGAGAGGGAGAGGGAGAGAGAAAAGAAAGATCGCTAATTTCTATCCCCTGGTTCACTTCCCAAATGCCCACAGCACTCTGGACTGGCCAGGCTGAAGCCAGGAGCCCAGACATCCATTCAGGTCTCCATGTGAGTGGCAGAAACCCAAGCACCTGGGCCGTCACCTGCTGCCTCCCAGGCACATAGGCAGGAAGCTGGATTGGAAGTCGAGGTGGGACTCCAACCCAGGCACTCCTATAGGCATATGGGTATCCCAAGGTTTAGCCTGCTGTGCCCAGTGCCTACCCCTCTTAATCTTTAATGTGTGGGTAGAAGAACACTGTGGGTAGACTAACCTGTTCGAGTTTTTTAAAGCTTAGACGCCATGTGCATCACCAGTCCAGCCCAGTAAGCGGCAGCCTGTACAATTGCTTGTAAGAACTAAAGTCTATCAAGGACACGCAGTTGTACTGACAGAGGCAGGGAGTGGCTGAGCAGGGACAGGTGCAGCTGGGTGCTGATTCCAGGACATAACTGTACAGAAGCCACTCAGCTTACGACGGGCTACAGCAAGAAAAAACCATCATAAGTCAAAGCGCAGTTTAACGCACCTAACCGTGCACCCTGCAGCTCAGCGCCGCGCTTGGCACTGTTGTGACAGCAGAGTGACAGGCAGCTGTACGTGCAGCCGCTGCCCAGCGTCTCCACAGAAGATCTGATGCACAGAGCTGGCCCGGGGGGAGGATCCAGACTCAGCATTCCGAGTACAGTCTCCGCTGTGTGCCTGTCGCCGTCACATCATTAGGAAGTCAGAAAGTCCTACGCTGACCCGCCGTGGGCCAGGGTGTGTGCACACATCTCCCTGCAGCTGCCAAACTTGAGGATGGGAGAGTTCCAAGCGAACTGTGGCGTCGTGGTGACAACAAGGGTGGCCATCAGG